TAATAAACTAAACGTTCACCAAAAAACTTTAGTGAGAAAAATCGAAAAAACGAACTACAAACATATTAACGCCAAACATTCGGTAGAATTTATAGAATATTGTAAAAATTATGGTCTATTACCAACATTTACGTATGTTTGTTTGTGTAAGTATGTATGTTTGTGTATGTATGTATGTTTGTGTATGTATGTTTGTTTGTGTGTATGTTTGTTTGTTGTAGTTGCACATGATTAGTTGGATGATGTTTGTAAAACTTAACTAAGTCCAAGCTTGAATGATTGATTGACCTGAGCAGGTTGTGAAGAAAAATCCTTTGTTACAAAACTACAATACATTCATTCATTCATCAATCCACTCATCCATCTAACTATCCAACCCACCGTCAATCCATCCATCTATCCATCTATTCATCGATACATGTAGTATTCTTTTTTAAACATAAATATACAATGTTTTAGCCATAAAAACGTTTAAGTGAGAACTTTTGGTTTGATGTATGCACATGGAATTTAAACTAATTTCACTTCAATACTTTTCTTTAATTGGAGTGTTCAAATTTCCTGACTTGATTTTTCACTTATTAAAGTGTAATCTCGAATCACATTCATAAAATTATTCGGATTCTAGCGTTTTTGGCTACGTTAAAGTGTAATCTAATATGGTTGATGATAAGTCATTGTTTTTGTTATGTTATTGCTGTTGTTATTGTTGATGTTTTTGTTGATGTTGTTGTTAAAACGCAATGAGAATGGTGATATTTTATATTTTTATTATATATGTAATAATGATAAATATGATGATGACGAAGACGATGATGATAATGAGGATTATTATTATTATTATTTTTATTATTATTATTATGAAGATGTTGATCATCATCGTAATTAGGTCAAGCAAGAATTTATTTACGATGGCGCTTGTACCGTGTGTGACACGTATGTTAAGGATTCATTACAAGAGTTTCTTAGGAGCATGCCTGGTGAATTAATGCATGGGTGAATGAACGAACGAATGAACGAACGAACGAACGAATGAACGAACGAACGAACAAATGAATGAATGAATGTATGAATATACAAGATAATGTAACAAAGATAACGAATGAACATCCGAATGAATACATGAACTAATCGATGGATGAATAATTAAGTATTAAATAATAGAAGTCATATAAATAAGAAAACGGATGAACGGATCGAACTAAAATAAATGAATGGGTGAATGAATGAACACTCTCCCGCGTCAAATTTAAATCCACATCGATCTCTGATTATCGACTCATTCATTCATGACGTCATCACTGCAACGTCACGTGACGAGCAGGGATGGCTGTATCGACTTTTAATATATTTGAAATGACTTGTGGAGTTTAACTGGGTGGCATTTTAATAAAATGTATCACTATCCTGTCGATAATCACGAAACTAAGTTTAGTGCATCATCATTACCGTAAACTTTATCACTATTATTGCCACCTTCATCACCATCATTCTCATCTTTCTCTTCTTCCTCATCATTTTCCTCATCATCATCAGTAGCAACAGCATATTTACCATAAGTTGTTTATACCGAAAGGCAACTTTGTTATTCGTCACATCATCATCGTCACAAATTTTCATCATCATCATCATTAATCCTCAACATCATTATCATCATCATCAATCCTCCTCCTCCTCCTCCTCTTGAAACTTTCATCATCATATCATCAGCCATCATCACCATCATCATTACAACTACTATTATCATCATCACATCTCACACAAATGCCATCATCATCATCCATCATCATCACCAAAGTACTCGTCATCATCGTTACGTCATTCAAATGATTCATTTTTATTGTCGAAATATTCAATTTCATCCTCTTCAAAATCGCCATAATTTTCAACGAAATCATTTTCATACTCTTCCCCATAATCTTCTTCATAATTATAATTATCAGCAGCCGTAGCATCAGCAGCAGTAGCAGCTGTAGTAGCAGTTGTGACGTAAGCATTTTCAGCAGCAGCATTGTGGCATTTTGTCATGCTCATCTTCGAGACTCTGTTCAGCACGTCTAGCATCTCGTCCTCACTCCAGTCTCTATCACCCCTGGATGTTTTGTCGGGTTTTTTAAAGAAATGTTTCCAGACAAAAATGAAAATTTGATTTTTTATCTTTAAACTGGCAAACTGCATGGTTTTCCGATCAGTTAACCATCCATTTTTCATTTATTCATCAATCAATCAATCAATCAATCAATCAATTAGCTTATAAAGCGCTATTTCCGCGATGTTCAACAGCGCTCCTCAATGAATTTTGAAAACAGATGGGTCTTGAGATACGCTCTGAACTTCGCAAGTGATGGAGAAATAGTTAGAGAAGTAGGTAGAGAGTTCCAGAGAAAAGGACCAGAAAAAGCAAAAGCAGATTTGGCAAAAGAGTGTTTAACACGAGTTAAGAAAAAGCGAGAAAAAGAAGACGATCGTAAACCGGGGCGTTTAGGTTCAATTAATATATCTGATAAGTACTTAGGAAATAATTTAGATTGAGACTTATACATGAACGTGCAAATTTTAAAAATTATTCTATATTTTATAGGTAGCCAGTGCAAGAGAACAAGATATGGAGATATATGAGAAAAGAAAGGGGCACGAGCAACTAGACGAGCAGCAGAGTTAAAAGCTTTACTTAAAGGATAGAGTATAGAGTCAGAAAGACCATAGTAGAGCGAGTTACAATAATCAATCCTAGATAAGACTAACGAAGTAACAAGAAGGAGAAGAGTAGGATCATCAAGAAAAGGCAAAAGATTTTTTATTCTACGTAGATGAAAGTAAGAACTTCTAGCAACACTATTAATCTGAGAAGAGAGAGACATAGTAGAATCAAAGATAAAACCTAGACTACGAAACTTATGAGAGACATCAAGAGTTTTAGAATCAGGTAAGATAATAGGAGGAATAGTAATTGAGTGTTTAGATTTATTAAAACAAATTAATTCAAACTTAGAAGGATTAAGTTTAAGACACATAGAATCAGACCAAGCGATAATCGAAGAAAGACATAGAGATAAATTATGAAGAACACTATTGAGATTAGATGGAGGAAAAGAAGTATAAATATAAGAATCATCAGCATATAGTTGACTAGAGAAAGAAAAGTTATTAATAATACGAGGTAGTTCAGAAGTATAGAGTATAAATAGAAGAGGGCCAAGGATAGAACCCTGAGGTACCCCGAAAGTAAGAGTAGAGGAGTTAGAAGTAGAATTATTGAGAACAACAGAAGAAAAACGATTACAGAGATAAGAAGAAAACCAAGATAGACAAAAATCAATCAAACATTAAATCAATCATTCATTCATTCATTCATTTATTCATCCATCCATTCATTCCTTTATTCATTCATTTTAATGGTTAACAATTAAATGGTTTTTCAGCAAATATATAATTTTGATAATTTAATTTTATAGTAGCAAATCGAAAAGTCATTCATACATTCGTGTATAAATGGATGAATAGATGGATGGATACATAAAAAACGAATGAACGAATAAACAAATGAATGAATAAATGAACGAACGAACGAACGAACAAGCAACCGAATGAATAAATGAATGACCTGTAATCGATCATATGGGGGTCTTTGAAAGGAATCCACCTCAACTTATCTGAGTTGGTCGGCCTCTTGATGGACTTGTTGTATAGAATCTCAGGGGTGTAGTAAGGGTCCTTCCACGAATGTACAAACATCGCCCTATTTTGCACCTTCATCAACTGTTTCTGAATTTTCAATAGCATTTCTCTTGCGTATTCCTTCTACATTTATTGCATATCAATCAATATTACCTCATTGTCTTTTACCCTCAATTTGTAAAATGTCATTCAATTTTTGCTGCTACCAATTCATCAGCTTTTAAAATTTATTTTACTTGCAAGCTAAACGAACGTTATTACTAATATAAATAGATGAATAATGACTGAATTTATGAACCTATTAAACATAGTTCGTTAGTATTAAAAGAATTATTATAACTCAAAAATTCTTATGAAACTTTACGATGTACCAACTTATCAACTATGAATTGTAACAAAATGCGACATGCCACGTTAAATACTGTAACAATAACACAAATTAACATAAATACATGCATATCATTAATATTAACATAAATCATTAACATAAATTAACATAAAATTATTATAAAACAACCTCCCAGCTTTTCAGTTGCTTAAATCTGCAGTAGTTAGCTGCGACGAAGCTGAACTTCCAAAGATTGACCAGATTGGCTCTAGTTATGTCAGACGTGTATTTTTTGTGCAACTGCTCTCTTTCTTCTCTTTTTTATTTTTAAATAATTAATCATAGTAATAATATTAATTTTCATTATAATTATTATTTGTATTATTATTATTATTATTACTATTATTTATTATTTACGTTCTTCAAATCGGGCAAACCACTTGGTGTTGATGCTATTATTAAAATGGTTGATTCATAGTAAGTGAACGAACAAAATTTAAGTAAAAATTGAATAAAATAATTTCAAAATGATTGATGAATGATTTATAAAATATAACACAATTGAATGGAGATGCATTGCAATGAAAATAAATCGTAACATCCATTACAGCAAACAGACAAACAACACAACCAGCGAACTCCATGTTGATTTCGAGAATTTAAAATAACCAATGTAGTCCATTAAAATCGCGCGCAAGAAAAGTACAACTAATCGAAAATGATGAACGACAACAAACCAACAATCAAAAATGACAAATGGTAAAATCAACTAACAAACAACAACAACAACAACAGAAACTCTGACCAACAACACTATTAACCTTGCCTTGTTAAAAATTTCATCCGATTTGAAGTTCCAGCAGTCGATATTGCACGGACTGACCATTTGTTTGGCTATAACTAAGGTCATCTTTTTCGAAGTTTCGTAATTCAATTCCTGTGGTTACAAATTTGTAAATTTGTAAAGCCCTACTATTACTTCAGCTTATGTGGTGATCAAATTGGATTGTTTGATTTACGTCTCTTTGTTATTTTTATCAAAATTGATATTATTGAAATTATTATCATTGTTTCCACCGTCTCAATCAAAATTACCGACAAAGTTATAATTTTCAACACCATCATCGTCATCGTCATCATCACCGGCGTCAACATCATCATCTTTATCACATGACCTCACCATCGGAATGAGATGCTGTTTGTTCATACGACGTGCACACAACTTGATGATAGATTTTGGTGGGTTGGTGTCAACTTTTGGTTTCGCTTTTAGTGGCGAATTTGGCAATCATCATTAAAACTTAATTATATAATTTTTAGAGCAATTATCTAAAGCAAGATAATTAGGTCTTTAAGTTAGTCAGTTAGTGTTTGATGTACTATTTAAAAAAAACCATTCAATTGATCAAAACAAAATGCAAGTTAAATGTCAAGAGACAAGAGAAAAAAAACCTTACAAAATTAACGTTTTTGTAAATGTTTCAAAGTAGTATTATAAGTACATTTTTAAATTTTTGAAATCAGGTTTAATGAAAAATCATTATAAAAATGACTTCAAAATTACATAGCAATTAATAATAGTCACATAAAAAAGGTTAACACACCAACCATCAATAACTCTTCGTCTATGCTGCCTATATATCCTTCCATCTGAATTCTTCCGCATGTACCTTGAAATCTGCTGGAACCTGGCTACTTTCTTGCATGGCAAACCCCTGTTAAGCATTTTGGAGCAGAGAGATATTTTTGCCAAATTAACATCAGAGAGTCTCCTAAATTTGCAAGCATGTTCATCTTTTTCTTTGTCCGAGTCCTCGGACGATGACTCTAACCCGGTGACCCTCCTCATCTCAAGCGGATATCAATTTAAGTGTCGATAATAGTATAAACTAGCAATAGTAATTTAATTACTAAAGTTTAAGACGGATTGTTTTAGATCTATTTATTGTTATGATGACGTTTCGTAAGACTATATTTTATTTTATATTTTATATGATACTACATACATGCTAAACAGTTTTAGACGCTGTTCAATTATTAAAATTTTTATTATAATGATGTTTCTGGCTAAGCTTACTTAGCCATACATATCATTATAATCACTTACGAAAATGTTATGTCATCTATTTGAAATTAATGAAATTCTTTTCCATATACTCTATGGTTTAGTAAAAACTTAGTAAAGACTTAAATGAACTTTTAGCCATAGTTGCTAATCGAGACAGCAAGTAGTAAACTTGATTATTTTTGCACAAATAACTGATTTTTATAAGTGTTGGCTTAATAATGAATTATTCAGAAGTTTTTAAACTTTCAAATGGTTTATGCTCGTGTTCATATGACGGATGTTACGTAGCCAATGTAGTGAACCAGAAATTAGTGGTTAGGCAGGCGGCTTCTTTGCAAGTTGTGGGTCTGTTCTCTTGTTCTGACGTTGTGCAGTACATTGAATGGTCTCCTGATTCAACCATGATTCTGTGCGCCATCTATAAAAAAAATCTTGTTCAGGTGCCAATTAATTAAATTGTTATTATAATTGTAGTATTGTTGAAGAATTGTTTTCTAACTTCTTGACTTTATAAAATAAATTGTTAAATTAAAATTCATTTAGAGATTTAGCTAGTGTAGTGTAGAAACAAGAGATATTGTAGTAGAGAAGCACAGCTCAGCACCTACTTTCATTTTTTGACATAAAAATTTAAAAGTAAAACTACTGGAAATTCTATAAAAATTCCATTTCCAATTCTTCTATCAATGTATTTGTATTCAATATGTATTAACATTTATTAGTATATAATATCTTCCAGTTTTATAATAATAAACAAAGTAAATTTGTGGTCTTTTGTTTTTTATCACCTGCCTGTTATGATAAAATGTAATGTAGTATTTATAATTTAACATTTAACCAAAGGTATGGAGCATAGAAGATTTGGATTGGACTTGCAAGGTTGATGAAGGGTCAGTCGGATTGGTCGGTGTTTGTTGGAGTCCAGACTCTCGACACATCCTAACAACTTGTGAATTTCATTTGAGAATAACCGTCTGGTCACTCGTCAACAAATCAGTCATGTATATAAAATATCCCAAACAGTGTAAAAATTATATCGATTTTTCAAGGTTCTCCCATTGTATACTTATGTCGTTAAATTAATACTTATAATACATCATGATGTTATGACTAATAGTAAATTTATTATAATAATAAACTGATTAATCATTTTATTTGATTTTTTATTTGATTTTTTCTTTCGAAACCAGCAATGAAAAATATTTAGCAGTGGCAGAACGAAGAGATTGCAAAGATTACATAAGTTACTTCAATTGTTACTCGTGGGATCTCATTAAAAATTTTCCAACTGAGACGGAAAATATGGAAGGCATATGCTGGTCACCTAATGATGAAGTTTTGTGTGTTTGGGAAAATTGCTTAACTTATAAAGTTTGTTATTACACCTTTGTACTTTCTAAAATCAAGTACTAGTATATCAATGTTATACTTCTTACTTGCTCCATTATATTTACTTGAATGTTGATCTAGTTGTACATTTTATTTGCATTTAAGTGTGCTACAAACTGTTTAAAAAACATTTTGTAACACACCTATATATGCTATAATAATCAGTGTGTTAATATATATTGTTCTATAATTGTTATACCATTGTTATATTTCTTAGTTATTTAATTGGTTTGTTAATAATGATCAAGCTGTGCATGTCATTTTTATTTATTTTTGTTACGAAATGTTTTCAAAAGCATCCATTTTTTAAAAATTCTAGAACTTTTTGAATGCTTCTTGCTTACTTAAGTAACTTTTTAGTATTAAATGCTTCATTTTCCAATGAAATTCACACAAATTACTCTTCTTTCATGTATATATGATCCATAAATCTTTTGTAATTGTTCAAAATTTAACCTCTTTGTTTTGTACCTGTCACATTTTATTTGTTATTGAATATGATCAACTGTTATGTTATTATTAAAAATTTATTTTTTAAAATCAGGTTCTAATATATTCCTTAAATGGATCGTGCTTGTCAAGTTTCAGTGCTTATGATTATGCACTTGGGATCAAGTCAGTTGTTTGGTCTCCCTCTGGCCAGTTCTTGGCCATCGGCTCATATGATGAAAAGATAAGATTGTTAAATCATCTGACTTGGAAACTTATATTAGAATTTCCTCATCCACCTAATTTTGATAGTAATATTGTTATTTATAAAGAATCAGTTGTTACAGATGTACTTAAAAAAAGTTTGTTTCAATTATGTTTTGTATGTAATGAGCCTTTCAAATGTTTTTTTTATTTTTAATTCAAGCTTTTAGAAAATACGAGATTGCAGAGCCGAACAGCTCTTCAAACATCCAAATTCCAACAGCAAGTGTTAATCCTAATTCACCAACACCAAAAATCGGTGTTGGAAACATTCTATTCAGTTGTGATTCCAGATATTTAGCCAGTAAAAGTGATTCCATGCCTTCTAGCATATTTATATGGAGCTTGGAAAACTTGAAGTGCGTTGCCATGTTATTACACCTACAGCCAATTAAAACATTCTCTTGGGACCCATCAAGTCCTCGATTGATCATATGTACTGGTGGTGATGAATTTTTTATCTGGACACCAGAAATCGCCCTAACCATTCCAGTTTTAGGAAGGAATGATGGTTTCTGTGTTAATGATGCCAAGTGGGTGCCTTGCGAGGAAACCTCCCTTGTTTTAATAGGTAAAGATGAAATGTGTTTAGGATTTTTTCAATAGCGTTTTTGCCATATTTTAGTGTTTTTTGGTCTGAAATTTTAGTACATTGTTTTTAACTTGAATGTAATGTTTTGCCAAATTTTATGAGTTTAGTATTTTGGCCATCATGATTTTTATATTTTGTATGCGTTCTATTTGTCTGTATTTCATGCTAATTTAAGTATTTACTTTTATTAGAAAGAAAATATAAACACTTTTTGAAAGCCGTTCAATTGATTTTTCTCGTTGTTTTGATATTTTATCGTTCGTTAGTGTCGCTAGCCGTGTCGTGTCATTTATCTTTTGTACGCTAGGGTTAAACAAAAATTTAAAGATTTAAATCATTAAGTGACATTTGATTGAATATTTTTTAGTTTAACAACAAAATATGTCGTAGATATTTTAATACAAGATGAAAATCAGGTTTTAGACGATAAAATTTTTAGGCAAACGCCACCCCAGCCAATGATTGATATTTTCTTCATAAGCACTATCTATGCGCTTCGATTAAACTTACCTTGCGCAGGAGATACCGTGATCAAGAAGGCGGTTCTCCCAGGACGAGACCCAGCCATTGCACTACGGTTGGGTTGACCCCTGCGATTACCCCAAATGTGGGTAACTCGGGTGCATATTTTCTGGTAGTGAGGAACTGCGTTCGCGCTTTTCCTCGTTTTGTTAAATTAATTTTATACGGGTGGATGATTGTGTTAATGATGTTTTGCTGACTGGCGTTTTTATGATGGATGGTTGGTTTGATTTTTGTCAGATATTTTATTTTTGTTGTATTTGTCGTTTGACTGATATTCTTAAAATGAGTTTCGTTCGTTCACAGGCTATTAAATTTAAATAAATTTTGTTTGTTAGTTGAACGAGCCCACGAAGGAGGTATGTTGAGATTTGAATAATTTATTTCGTAAAGTTATATTTTTTGTGGAAAATGTAATAAATCGATTGATTCGTTCTAAAATAATTTTTTCATGTATAAAAAGTCGGCCAACCAGTGTGCCAGTTTCGCGATGAAGCGCGATTATATACTTAACATTATTTTTAATCGGTAGAGTTACTTTTAAGTCGCTAGGTTACTAAAAATTTTAATGTAAATAATTTTTTATGCGATTTGAAAAAGGCGAATTATAAAATTTTAACAAAAAGTGTAATTAGTTGTAAATATTTACTGGAGTAGGCCATTAAAAGTTATAAATATTATCTAACATTTTAGTAAGTAAAGCCACCTCTGTCTAACTTGACACATCCGTACTTATAGTTCGTAAGTAGTTATACGTGCATACTTACTTGGCACAGGAGAATCCGTGATCATGAAGGCGGGCCTCCCAAGCCGAGGCTCAACCATTGCACTGAGGTTGAGTTGAAGCTTGCGATTACCCCAAAAGTGGGTAAGTCGGGTGCATTATTTTTGATAGTGGGGAACTGCGTTCGCGCTTTTCCTCGTCTAAGTTCATAAAGTCAAAGAATATCTGTTGCTCCTATGTTGTGTATTTGTTCGTTTTTGTAAGTTCTTATGTTTGTTTGTGTTTTTATCGACCTTGTTCTTTCGACGTTCCATGTTAACCATGATATTGGTTTGCTTACGCTTCTGTTACTTTCCTACAACGTGCCGGTAATGATGTGTTCCTTGTTGTTTAAATTTTATAACTTGACTTTTTTTTAAATCTAAACGATTTTCTCGACTAATTTTAATTTTTTTACATTTTTTTAAAATTTATTTTGAATTTTGTTCCGTAATGCCCAGTACACATTTCAATTTGCTGGTGGACGTGATTAATGAATATTGAATTGGAATTCTCTTTATTAAAATTCTTATGATTTTTGCGATATTAACTAACAAAAGTTTTTATTTCAATGTCTTTTCCATTGATCAATTTATTTTTCAATTGTCAAAGCGCATTGACATTGATAGAATGCACGCACACGAACACGCAGCAACAAGCAACCTCAACAAGTAGCTTGCACGAAAACTGGTGAGCTATTTATATCTATGCAAATGATAGAGCGTTGTTTCAAGGTAAGTAAAATTATTTAAACTTGTTCGCCAGTCGCTAAGCATAAGTTATAAAATAATTTAAATTAAATTTTTCCAGTTTAGAAAATTTCAATGGTTTTGGCTACATTGATAAATTAATAATTCTTAATCTAGTCGTACCATTTTTTAGAGTTGTTAACTTTAGCTCCAGAACACCACTTACAACAAACATTCTTTGGTTTATGAAGACAATCGTTACAGTGAAAGGCCAAACTTACCTGGCACAGGAGACACCGTGATCACGAAGGCGGTTTTCCCGGAACGAGACCCAGCCATTGCACCTGGGATGGGTTGACTTCTGCGATTACCCCTAATGTGGGTAACTCGGGTGCATCATTTTTGATAGTGGGGGAACTGCGTTCGCGCTATTTCCCTGATAATTAAGCAATTTAATACCGTATGAATGTTAGTTGGTTGAGTACGTCAGTATGATCGATTCGTTGTTTACTTTGATTTTTAAAATATCTTTTTTGAATTTTTGAATAAAAAATGTCTGCCTGTTTAGATCAAAAATTTACAAGAAGAATTGGTTAAAAATAATGTTAATGAATGTGAAAAAATTAGAAGTATAATTTCTATTGTGTGTTCACATGTTTTTATGTCACACTATTTTATTTGAATAATGCATGGATTATGCAAGGATGGATAATGAATTTAACTTTTAAATTATTTGTTAAAAACAAAAAGTGTAGAAGTACGATGTAATTAAAGAAAATGCATTATTAAAATAAAAAGTAGAGACACGATGTAATTGAAAATCAAATAAATTGCAGTATCGCACAACCAACAAGCTTAGAATTAGTATCGTAGGCTTATGAGTGTGCCGATCGTGGTAGTTGGTTTTGATCGCTAGAGTGCAGGTTAATAATTGTTTGCTCGCCAGGTTGTTTTCTTATTTCAAAAAAATTTATTTAAAACAATTATAATTACACAATTAATCCGCAAATATTTATTTTATTTCAATATTTATATTATCAAATAGAATCGCATTAAGAATATTAAAATTTATTTTCACACATTAAAACACCATCCACTAACTTTTCCCAGCCGTATGTAAACAACCAGATGACTGGGAGATTCATACTAACCTGGCACAGGAGATACCGTGATCAAGAAGGCGGTGCTCCCAGGACGAGACCCAGCCATTGCACTTGGGTTGGGTTGACTTCTGCGATTACCCCAAATGTGGGTAACTCGGGTGCATTATTTTTGATAGTGAGGAACTGCGTTCGCGCTTTTCCTCTTCCTAACGAATCAAATTAAAATTTTCTGTTTAATTCAATTAAGTTAGATGTTGTTTTTATGTGTTTATGCTCTGTATGTTTGGAGTTTGTATATTTGTTTGTATGTGTGAGCGTATGTTTGTATAATAGTTGTTTGTTCAATAGTTGTTTGTATGATAGTCGTTTGTATGATGGTCGTTTGTATGATGGTTGTTTGTTTGATGGTTGTTGTTTAAACTTTTTATTTCGGTTGGTTCGGATGTTTCTTTGTGTTGTTGGATTGATTGGGATGGATACGTGATTGACTGTTTGAATAGTTGATCGGTTATCGTTTCGATAGTGTGTAGGTAAGTTGGATTTTTAATTGTTTGCTTGCGGTTGGGTTGATTGGACCATATGATTAGAATAGTTCAGCGGTTTTTGTTTCGATTGTGTGTTGGCTAGTTGGTTTTTTAATTGTTTGCTGATATAGGTCCTTATTTTTGAAAATTTTCTGATAAATAATCTAAATAAAGAAAAGTGACGCTATCGATACAAAGAAACTTCACGGCACAATCACCAACAATACCTGTTTCTCGTCACAACATTGATTCCAAGTATGGTGGGTACTTTAAACTGACCTTCTTGCCATATCGTGTTTCTCCCATAACAAACCTTGCCTTGTTGGCATCCAATAGTTGTTATATTCTATATAGGAAAACTGCCAATGATGTTTACATAAACTTGCCAACGGATCCTTCCAGGTCAAGTGAATATTAATTCGAGTGCTATAGCTCAATTCCTACGATAACATTTCATTGGTAATTCGCCGTACTCATGGATATATATAATCTATATCCATGGCCGTACTATTACAATTTTTAGTTTTTGCTGATAAGTCTCTGGATATTTTTTGCAGTTTTTAATGCAAATAATGTTGGCAAATGTATTTTTTAAAGTATTTTACTTCACTCACGACCGTTCAATTTAACCATCGTCATATTTATATTACAATAAAATTATCCTTATTTCTCAGTATCACTATATAATTGTCTAACAATTTCATAATATAATTTCATTATATAATTATCATTTATAATATTATAATTAAATTATTCCTGATATCTTTTGCAATTCATTAAAATATTAGTCAGGATTTGCTTGATTAGTTCATAAAAATATTTTTATTCCATTTATTTCGGGAATTTTTACTAACGCACGGATGGAGATGTTTCAGTTTCATCCAGCTGATGTAAAAAAATTTTGTTCATATATTTGGGTCGAATAATATTTTGTAATTATAACTATAATAAAATTTGTTTTTAGGATAAAATAATTGAAACATGCCCCATTTTAGCAACGTAATTCAGAGCAAAATATAAATGGTTTTTAAACTGAAAGTGTTCAATTTAATTATTTAAAAGTAACAATATTAATAATATCTTTCTTTATGTTATCATCATTTAATAATAATAAACGAATTATTATTACTCATTTATATCATTAAAATTTCATGGTTGGCTGGTTGCTTGAATTGAATGGGTGACATTTTGAGAACTCATGATGAGTAATGCACGCTCGTAATATTATTATAATCATATTAAATAAATAAATAAATAAATATGTATATATATATACACATGCTTTATTTGTCTCTTTAATTAATTATCGTAATAAAATAATTTGAAACCCAAATGTAGTGTTCGTTATATTATTTCATATTGCTGTTTAAATCATAAGTGTTTGTACGTAAATTATACGTAGAATCATTTGTTTCAGATGCAAATATATTACAAATCTTTAGTTCGTTGTGATTTCACTAAAATACAACCTGATTCGAAATCTGACGAACCGTATTTTGTTGATCAACGATCAATCCATAATTATAATCTATAATTAATCAACCGCGGTTGTTATTAACATAATTCTTTCCATATTTGTTTTCTAGATAGTAAAACCACCGAATTTTATCATTTAATAATTTTTAATATTTACAAAAACAAAATCAGTGGTACAGGTACTGATTGCAAAGCAACTCATTCACTTGTTCTATCTTTCATTCACTCACTCTTTCGCTCATTCGCTCATTTATTCATTCACTCACTCAGTTACTCATTGTATTGTATAGTGATGTTATTTCATTTCATTGTTAACATATTTGTGTCGCTGCTAGCATTCGATTGATTTGTTTAAGTAGTGTCGAATGGGACCTTCTGAATGGAATCAAATGCCACAGCTTAAAATAATAATCGAGCCTGGCAAGCACCTAATGAATGCGTGTGTATGTATTCGATTAATCATTGTTGTTACACTCTTATGAACGTTTACTTACGATTATTTACTATACACACATACACATATTCATATGAAACATGTTTAACTCAGTGTCTTATAATAGCGCATGCACATGCATATAGCTTTATATTTGCCATCCTTCATGTGATCTTCTAATTTAGCATAGAAAAAGTTCTGCTATAGGTATGCCTTCATTTGACTTTTAATCCAAATATTTTAGACTGAAGTTTTTTTTTACACTATAGAAAGTCGACGCTGTGATGTGAATTTTTTTGTAATTAATTTAATTAATGCGTGTTTAATATTGTGGAATAAAATAACGTGCTAATAAAAATTTGGACGTACGTGATTTTAATTTTAATCGAATGCGTTTCAGCAGTGCGGCAGTAGTATCAGCTAATATTGCAATATTGTTATATTTATAACAGATTAAATTAATTTATGCTGAGAGTCAAGTAGTGAATTTTTGATGGTTTTACAGAGCTATGTACTTATAGTTGTTTTCAATTTGAAATAATCTGCATGCATTTGCTGTGTTATCTTCAAGTAGTGCTCTACATTAACGTTAAACCTAATATTCTCCAGTATAATAACGACAACTACAAAACAGCAATAATAATAATAATTATTAATAATTTTGCAAGTTAATATAGCTGACAGTCTCGCTATAACTACTCTGCAATTATTATTTGCTCAGCTACGGATATAGATAGATGGCTGGGGAGATGCTAATTAACAGTTTCAAAATTTAAAACAAAGTTCCGGCTACATTTACTGTTACTATAATCCATAGCTAATGTAAGTTTCTTGTTTATTTATAATATATATATATATATATATATATATATATATATATATACACACACACATACATACACACACGTATATATATATAAATATATGTGTGCGTGTGTGTACAGTCATCATATGTGTTATTTCTACATGGTGTACAATATCCTGATATAAAATTTCATTGCAGTCTTGCGTTTAGTTACGTTGGAAATTTTTGGACGAGTGGATTTTTGATTAATTCCTTAGAGAGAAAAAATGGAAAAATAAGGTGGATGACAGTATACCTGCTAATAAATTTCTCAACAATTTTGTAATTGTTGTTGTAATCGCCAGACGTATCATAAAAACACAGCTTCTCTAATTTAAAAAAAAATAAATCTTTAAAATATGAAACTGGATTAGCAGTGGAGAAAAGATTTGCCACGACCTTATATTTCAATCCATCCGTCAATTCATCTATAAATCCATCTATCTATCTGTAACGTAGTCGTCGTCGTCGTCATGTTTAATTCATTGGATATCATGAGAGTGGACGCTGAATCGTGGGAAGCTCTGCCTTTCGACGACATTCTCAACAACATCCAGGGCTCTTTCGAAGGATTTGATGATTTATTTTTCGCTAACGAAATTAAAAGAAAAAAGAAGAAATGTCAGTCGAAATTATTCAACAGTGTTTGTTCTAATATTGCCAACAACAACAACAACATCGTCACTAACAATATTAATGTTCTGAATAATAATAAGGTATGCTTGACGGTTTGGCTCTGAAGTAAATTTATTCTTATGCAGATTTATGTTTCAGGTGGTTTGTGCTCAAAAAACTTGCAGAAAAATAAGAAAACATCTAAAACAACAACTGCGTGAGTCATTTATACTGTTTAATTAGAAAATCAAATTTGTGTGCAGTAATGATTTAATTAATTTAGTTTATTTTTTTGATTACGTTGCCTTTTAATCTTAAATGTCTGTGACGACTGCACCTTTTAACTAATCAGCGTCTCAAGTTTCATGTAGCTGATCTGCCGATGGTCTTCTTTGATTAAGATGAGACGAATGATGTTATTTAATGGTATTTCTATTTAATATATAATTAGAAACAATTAGCAGGTACTTGGATAATTGAATGCATATTACATGTTGCAACAAAGTCATTTCACATGAAAAAGAGCGATATATATATATATATAGCTCGTATATATTATATTATTTAATGCAATTAATATATATTCTAAACGAGTTTAAAAGATTTAGTTTAAGTATATGGATTAATGATCATTTCCTCGTGCAAAAGTTCCAAAGTAACGCGCAACATAATATATAGAATAATGGACCGAAAAAGTGAGCGTTCATTTTTCCATAAACCGGGAACCAGCTTGCATGCAAATCTTTGTCAACACAACATTTCACTTCCTAGTTTCGATATGGCCGATCCGAAGATCGCTCCGGAGCCGTTTAATGCAATCGATCGCAGAAAAATGACGTTAAATTTGTTAATAGAAGCTAGTAAGTAATTTTTTCATACTAATTTTTCGTTTTCTACTCTCGTATGTGCGACGTACGGGCGGAGATATGCGACGAACATGCTTGCGGAATTTTAGACCTTGAAGTTTGATTTCCCAGCAGGAAATGAGTGCGCACTAATTTACTAATTTAACTTTTGTTAAATCGTTTGTGCGGCGTCTATCTGCTTACACGTGCATCTATTCTTTCTAATTAATGATTTATTTTTTTTAAATTCCGTTAGAGAAAAAGTTGATCATAAAAATAAAAAGATAAATAAAATAAAATAAGATGGACCCAGATGCACTGTCATTTTTTTTAATTTTTTTTTACTCAATTTTTAACGTTTTATTTTGAAGTGATGAATTAGTGCTATTTTTTTTACTTTATTCAGAAATATAGTTTGTAAATTAAAATTAAATTAATTTATTTTGAAGTTGATGCATGTGAGAAGTCCCCAGAAATGCTGTCGTCTGGAGGATCATTTCACGAGTCTTCATTCATCACGCAGGGCACACATCATCACCACAGATCTGACAACAAATGTAACAACAACAACAACAATGGTATTATTTTTCAATGATTCATTTCATTTTTATTAATTACTTAACATTTGTTCAATGTGTATAAAACTATCACCTTATAATTTAAAATTAAAACAATTTTTTGTTTAAGTCAATGCCTTACTTACTAAAATATGTTAATTCACTGAATGGCATTAGGTTCATCGTCATTCCCACCGAGTCCTGCTGATAGCGGAGTGTGGGTGTCGGAGACGGAGGTTCCTGTTGACGACAGCAAAGGTTTAGTTTTGTTGTTGAGAAATATTTCAAAATACAGTTAAATTTGGTGATGCCTCAGTTTGCATGGTTGCATGACAAGTGTTGAGCTAGGTTTCAGGTTTTCTTTCAAATAAGTGTCGCGATGGAAGGTAATTAGCATTTAAAATATATTTAGTCTTCTTTATCATACTCATCCATGAAGTCAAGTCAGTAAGGAAAGGTGTTGAAGGAACAATTTTGTTAATTTGAGAATTTTCAATTGATCACATGGAGGTGCAATTATGATTGCAGCATTAATTTCTTTCGAATTTTTAAATTTCCCGGGCATCAAATTGATATTTGCTGACAATAATTTAAATTTTGAACCTTTGATGAGATTTTACACAATGATTTCTGTAGATTCAAAGAACATGTTCACACATTCTAAACTGTTGTCGAAAAGTTGTGATCACCAAGCCTACCTACTGCACAGCAACCTAACAAAACAAAGTAAAATTTTATTTGAAATTTGCATGAAGGCTTAATTTGTTACTATTAATACCTAATACCAAATTGAAATTTAATTTTTCAACCAGTAGATTCTTCCCACCGACTGCACCACCAACATCAACACCAACAACGACTTCCTCCGACGCCCCCGACGTATGACGTCACAGAAGACAATCGACCGTCCCCAGTCATCAAGTTCGACTTCTGCCTAACTCCGACGCAGGAGAACAGCACCGAGTGCTTCATCATGCCGGACGAGTTCTGTCCCAACGAAATCATCTGCACCACCGAAATGCAATCTCTACAATGTGACAACATCGACGACGACGATGAAGATGATGTCAAGGAAAGCAACTGCAGCCAGCGAGTCAGTACTGATTGTTACATGACTGATGATGCAGACGACGACGATGATGATGAGGAGGAGGAGGAGGGGAATAGAGAGTACGATGACAGTGCGGATAGAGATTTCTGCCCTAACAAACAATCAAAAAATCCAAAAAAAGTTGCCAAAACAATAACCAAACCTCCTCTCAATTCGACACCTGGTGTCAAATCTAAAAGAGGTATCATTAACAATTTGAGCTTGATATGTCTGTGCGGTTGAATATATTTAACTTTTAAACTTTTTAGTTTTATCTGTTATCCAATTTTTATTTAATAGCTTATTCAATAAATTTTGTAGTTTTTGTGAGTTTTCAAACTGTTGATTTAAATATTAGATGAATGAAATGGTTTTGTGCTTCAATGAATCAGTCACTAATCAATTTCCAACCAACCAATCAGCTCCCAACCAATCAATCACTCAACCAATAACAATGCAGGCCGCAAGCCATCAATGCCCAGTTACTTTGCAGCGTCGATGTCCCCAACGTACCAGATGAGTAAGCGTCGTCGAGATGGAAATGTGACATACCTCTGGGAGTTCCTCCTCAAACTTCTGCACAATGATGACTTTTGTCCCAAGTTTATAAAGTGGATCGACCAAGATAAGGGGGTGTTCAAGTTGATTGATTCAAAAGCAGTTTCAAAACTATGGGGCCAGCATAAAAATAAACCTGCCATGAATTACGAAACGATGGGTAGAGCCTTGAGGTTTGTGATGGCTGGTTTTGTGGACATTAATGTGTAATTAAATGTTAAATGTGGTTTCCCATGTTTCATCATGTTTTTCAATATTCTCATGTGTTATCATCAATCGTTTCTGTAGAAATTTAATTGTCACCATTATTGATATGTTGTGTTCTTTATATACCTACAGACTTGAATGTCTCGTGATAACTTTTTTGCCCAAGTGACTATCTTAAATGAATTTGAATAATAACCATGAACATTTATTCATTCAGAAAATTGTCTCAGCACCCAAAACACTAACACACAAACAAATAAACAAACAAACACGAACAGGTATTATTATTCAAGAGGTATTCTCAACAAAGTTGACGGCCAGAGATTGGTGTACCAATTTGCCCAGCTTCCACCATCATTGATCTCATCATCACCTTCATCGTCATCATCGTCATCATCTTCATCAACATCGTCACCTAATGATATGGTGATCAATCCTAGCAACAGTAATGTAAATATTTTCTGATAACAAGGAAATGGTAGTTACAAAACAAGCAATTGGTTGATCATTTAATTGTGTAAGACTGCTACTTATAATAAATATTTAACTGTTGTTGTACTTCAGTTATTATTATTATTATTTATTTATTTATTTATTTATTTATTATAATTATTTTATTATTACATGGTGAATTAATGTAATGTTAATGTGTCAATGAATTAATAAAGCTTTTTTTACAGATTGAATGGTTATGTATTTGGAAGGTTTGAAATAAATATAATATTATTTATTAATTTAAATTTGAATTTTTCTAATAGTATATTGAAATTTATTATTTAGTTTATTATTAAATTAAACAAATGCTATATGTGAAATCTATCGAATAATTATGAAAACCAGTGAATACATTGAAATATGAACGATAGCATTAAACAAGATATCTGTATATTGCTCTAATATCAATTAAATAAATAATGATGACGAAAAGAATTTGGTTAGAAACATTGAAAAATGTAATAAAAAACTATCCAAAGCTAGAAATTCGGTAGATTTCATAAATTACTGAACAAATAAAGAAAAAATTTATATGAATATATTCATCTCTTTATTTTATAATTATCCAAATTAGCTTGAAAATTATTAAAATGAAATTGATTGACCATTACGTAGCGTTAGTATGCATGTGTGTGTGATAGTGAGTGTTTGTGTGTGTGTGTGTGTGTGTGTGTGTGTGTGTGTGTGTGTGTGTGTGTGTGTGTAATAGTGAGTGTGTATGGGAAAGAGACCATGCAGCTGTAGTTATAAATTTCACCAAATTTTGCCAAAAATTTGGTAGAACATTGTATATGTAAATGTGTGTATATATATATATATATATATATATATATATATATATATATATATATATATATATATATATATATATATATACGCATGTGTGTATATATGTGTTTGTCTTTGTGTGTGCGTGTGTAGAATCCTTATCCACATTGTACAGAGCTTAGTGATTGTTGGTTGAAGGTGTGTTGTAAATAATAGTTATTATATTTTCAGTTGAATGACTGAAGAGAATTTTTTTCATTCGTTTATTTTTCTTTTTCGTTTTTTTTATTTCTTTCCCATTGCTGACGGGAGCTTGTTTGGATCTTAGATGGACAATGTCGCATTTTTATTTTCATCATTATGATAAAAAATTGTGTCTGATGTGACGAATTATTTTATCATATTTACACGTTGTAATAACGATACAGCCGATACATAGAGTATATATCGCGTATTAGTTGGTATTCTCCAAAAATACTCTCTTTAATGTTTGTGCGTTCTTCTGCATGCATAAGTTAATCCTTATATGATTTGTTTTTGGGCATTTTGATAGATCTTTCTAACTGTCTGTCTGATGATCATTCGCTGGAACTGGCAATTGTAAAATGATGATTGTATGTGATTACAATGATAATTAGTTACGTTATTATTATTATATATATATATAGAGAGAGAGAGGGAGAGACTGATAACTGAAATCTACCTGCTATAATCTTCATTATATAAGTGTGATTACATAATAATAATTATTATATATTGCCTATTTATTTATTGGCGCAAACACTCACAAATACACACGCGCACATGTGTGTATTTATTATATTATCTTTATTATGTAATAATAATAATCATATTATTATTTTAAAATGATAATTAATGGTTATTATTATTATATTTAATTGTTTTTATTTATTTGGCTCACAATTGGATTGGATTGGTTGGCTCTTTGGTTGATTGATTGGTTGGTTGGTTAATATTGGTTAATTTATTGAGTGACTAATTGAATGATTGATTGATTGATTGATTAATTAATTAAGTGAATAAGTGACTGATAGATTGATCAGTTGGTTGGTTGATCGATATATGGAGTTATTATTACTAATTGATTGATTGACAAAGTTCCATTTGTCGTTGTTATTGATGTCATCATTGTTGTTTTTGTTGTTGTTTGTTGTCATTGTTTCCTCATAACATTGATCTGTATATTATATGATTTATTTTTATGCCCATATTTGTCATAACACAAGATGTTTATATATGTATGTATGTATGTGTTTGTATGTATGTATGTGTTTGTATGTATATGTGTGTGTGTATGTGTATTTGTATGTATGAATGCGTGTTTGTATGTGTGTGTGTATACCTTTCCATTAAATTTGATTGAATTTAGTCTTTCTCCTCGATCCTCCTATTTCATATTTTTATTTCTCAGTAAATTGAGCTCTTTTTTTCGCGAAACTTGAAATTTCGAATTATTCCTCGTGGCTTTCTGGATAAAAATTTTTAATTGATGTTAATTAATATAAATTATTTATTTATTAATATTTTGAATGATTTTCAGCTATTTTTTTCTGATTTCCCCTTCGTTCGTTCGTTTGTTTGACATGTTTTTTTTTTGTTACTTGGTGGCTTAAGAGGTTGTTCGCGTTGCATTTAACACATTATGCTAGTCCTTATAACCTTTTTTTGCAAACATAGTTTCGCGAGAACTGACACTCCTATACACACAAACACGCACACACGCACAGATATATAATATATATATATAAATATATGATTCAAGATGCTATAAACATCATATGTATGAACATGTATATAACATGAACATGCATGTATATAAAGCAAAGTATGAACTAAATATCATACATATATTTTCGGACAGTATCAACTGCATAGCTTGTGTACTTACAAAGTTGCGTGCTGTGTTTTCGATGGTTTCGACTGATGCGTGTTTCACGTTTTAACACCATTGTTGTTAGCTCCTATTCGTTCAGTTTTATTCTGTTCTTAATATTTTTTTTGGATTGTTAATATCTTTTAATAAAAAAAAAACGTTTATATACGAAATTTTCGTTTTATTCGCAGTTTTTTTGGAGGTGAATTAATAAAACTAATAAAATAAAATTAACTAAAGAAACCACTAACCAGTAAACACTAATAGACATGTGAGGTGAACTATAAAACAGTCATTGATGGCATTTTTCCAAACACTTCGAAGCAAACAGCTTCATAAATGTTTCCTTGGATTTATCAACATATAAGTCATTAAGTGACAGCATACGCGATAGAAAGATAGCAATACCTACCAATGTTTGTTGACGACTTGCTCAATTTTTCCATTTAAACTAGATTAATACATAAAATTGTTTTTATCCAGTGATTCGACCTACAAATCAATGCATCATGACAAATTAGATTGAGTTTCTTCTGCTACTAGCGCCTTGAACACCTTACGATTAAGATAAGTATATAGATTTTTTAAAAGCGTATTTAATTGACCTAACTTGCTACCCGGTTTACCATTAGATAATAATAAAGGAAAAAAAAACATTTTTTTCAAATATTATCTTCGATCAGATTCACCATTTTTAAAGTTAAATTACAGAAATAATAATAAAAATTAATTATTAAAATAAATTAAAAGTAATAATAATAACCAGTAATGTTATACTATAAGATAAATTTCCTATGTGCTGTGCAATTGATCAAATAGGCTTGAAAAACTATAGAAAAAAGTACATCGTATGGGCAGTTTGTTAACACTTCAATATGTACCATACTCATTAATATTTTATACAGTGATAACAGCAATAATAACAATGGACATTAACCATAATAAAAACAACAAAGATAACATAATAATTAAAAGATGAATAATAATAAACTAATAATGATAAGTTTGAATCAGGTTTGAATAATTAAAATGTGAATAATAAACTAATAATAAGTTTGGGTCAGGTTTGCTTACAAAAAAAACATTTAAAAAAAATCAGACACATATTGCACGACCAAATAATTATTTTTTAATAAACCACTAAATTAGTTAATTTTTTTTATTTAAAAAAAAAAAATAATTTGATCACTAAAAGCATGGAAAAATCCAAAATCAGCATCTACATACATCATATCACCACCATCATCATTGTCGTCATCACTTCAAACACGTTTCATCACCACAATGGCGTTCCATCATCACCATTATTATCTCCCCCTTTCTTCATCATATCTATTCTTTTATCATCATATACACCACAAGACAGCAAGCAGATGTCTATGCATTCATCGATCAACTATTTCACCAACTTTCAGATGAATGAAGTAAAAACATTATCATAAATTCTTACCCTAACTAAACTTCATACAGACAGGATAAATTTAATCACGACCAATTGATACATTAATTATCTCCATTAAATAAATATAATTTACCATACTTAAATAATAACAATACAATGGGCAGCCAAATAACAGCGTGTCAATTTTTTTTATGTTAAGTCTGTATAGGAACCACCTATGATAGTATACGTTTGGAAGAATGCATACATGTACCTAAGTTGTCGTCATCATTGTCAACACGAATCACACACATGTGCATACGTCTGCATGCATGCAAACTGGCTCAGAGAAACATAATTAAAATGTTATGTATCAAAAATAGGCCCAACAACTTGCACTGTAACCGTGCTCTTTGTAAGATTTTTGTTGGTACATTCACATGAAAATCATCGAAAGTGAATCATATTTATCAAATTCAACCCAATTCAAAGTTTTTAAAAAATTTGATAACGTTGATAAGAATGACAAGAAATCATACACAGACACAAACAGACAAAGAATCATGTAGACAATAACAAACAGACCTAACAACAATCATTATATATTCAAGTTCACGTACACACACATATTTATATGTACACAAATGCACACACAAACACACACGTCAGTTTATGTACAACTGTTTGTACATTGATCCAGTCATAAGTCTCAACCGCATGACTTTATACAGAAACAAACAAACAAGCAAGCTAACATAACCATACCTGTACACACACACACACACACACACACACACACACACAAACACACACACAAACACACTGACATTCTAACAAACAGGTAACAGAGAAAAAATTGTTTGTAATGACATTCAATTGATCAATTTAATCAACCAAGCAACTAACCAATCAATCAATTAAATAACAAATTAATTAATTAATTATTTAATCAATCAGTTAATTAATTAATGTACTGAGCAAGCCAACGAAATCCATCCCCATACCCCTGCCTCTTTAGTACTGAGCACATGAACAGTTCAACAGGACGCCTGTTCAATTCACTTCGGGGCCTTATTCCCTGTTCGTCGTTTGATTGGTTAGTTAATGATTGCAATAGCATCATCACCAATGCAGTGCAAGAACACACACACACAAGCACATAACAAAAGAAGCACCAACCGTTCCAGTAGCAATACTGTGTAGACCGAACATATAACGAATCTCATCCTCACTGCATGCTCCTGACAAATCTATTTTGTTACCAAGTATCAAAACTGGAGCATTTGCTATTTGCTCGTCTGCCAGTAAACTCTAGAAGAGAATAAGAATAATAAATCATAAAAATGTAATAATTAAAAAACAAATCAAGCATATAGATAAATGAAACAAATATCAACCAACTTGTAACTCTTTCCTGGCCTCATTTAATCTGGCCTTATCAAAGCAGTCGACGAGGAAGACTATGCCGTCAACAGCAGGAAAGTAATCTTTCCAAACCCTTCGCGCCTGTTCGTGACCTCCCAGGTCAAAGGTCGTGAACCTCATACCACCCATTGTTAACTCTTCTGATGCTGAGAGTTTAAGGGGTCAACATTATGACCAATCATGGACTCACATGATAACATAATTTTACTAAAAATTTTAATTAAATCTAAATTATGAACTTAAGTTTAATATCTTATTTTTAAAAATTATGATTGACAAAACATTTTTAATTATAATAAATAATCAGATGTTATAAAAATTATAAAATCAATAAATAACAAATATTGAATTTTAGTTTTAAATTTTATAAAAATAAAGAATTCCACAAACTGGGATGTAGTGTAGGCACGTGTTGGGCCATACGTGAGTCTTTCAACATATGTAATAAAGTCGTTTTTCCTGCATTGTCCAGACCAAGAAACACTAATTTACCTGACTTTTTGTACAAACCTTTAAATTTAAATTAAAAATGGTTTTTAATTGCGTTTAATTTTAATAAATAAAAAATATTTTACCTAGATAATTTAAAATTCCGGCAAACCAGTCCCAGAGAAACATTTTTATCTGTCAAATTGATAAAATAAGATTAAGATATCATTCAATATGTTCACTTAGGTAATCTTGAACGATCAATCAATAAACAATAAATTCGAAACTAACCTATAATCTTCCGACTTAAACAGATTTTACACTAACTAGATCTCAAAAAATTTTTAATTTATTTTTATAAAACTAACAAGAATCCTAAATATTATTCGTTTTTTTTTAATTTTTCAAACTTAGAGACGCGAGGTTAATATTTAAAAAGGAGAATCGTGAATCGTCGGGTGTATGTTTTTATTCATGGCGACACGAATAACTTCCGGTAGGTCATAAATTGATACACACATGTTCACTCATTTAGCGCTTACTATTTTACGCACATAATGTTCTACATTCTCTCGGTTATCAACCTAAGGACGTTTGATATGTAGTAAATAAACTACATAATTTGGGTTTCATAAATGACTAATTTACAAATTTAACAATAAATCCAATATATCAAACTCCAAAGCTGACTTTGACCTTAATGGACTTAAAATATGAAGTTTTAACAAAAAGACATCATAATTTCATGATTAAACCATTTGTATTTACATTAAAATTAAGTCATTTTATTAAATGAGATGCGTCATTCATCATTTCTTCATTCATAACTGTAACTGACCCAGTTGATCTATTGCACGTGTGCCTAATGTTTGCTCACCTCCACGTCTTGCTTCGGATAACTGATAACAAACGTTTGGAAGATGTTAAACTTTGTGTTATCATTGTTGTTGCTTTAGTTATTCCTGTTGCTAATGTATTTGATAATGTGGTTAATGTTGCTTTTTATTAGCATTGATTGATTTCTGAAGTTCGTTGCCTACTTGAATGATTATTTGACTAATTAATGACCTATTTATCTAATAAATTGATCAATTAATTGATTTAAAAGATATTATTATTGTTATTCTTAATAATAATTTAACTAATTTGAATTTTTTTTAACGAAAACATCTGACAAAGTTGTCCAAATGGATGATACGATTACATTAACATAGTCAACAAAATTCACATCTGCTAAAATAAATATTAGTATTATTATACATATCACCATTATAACTTTATTAGTATGAGCAGTATTGATGCTAATCTATCAAATTTTACTTCTGTCGTTATCTCTGTAAGCGATGAACGTTGAATTACGTGAAGTTCAACATCACACGCATCAATCAAACCGATTTTTTATCATGCCTGTCTTTTAAAATAGTTTTGTGACAGCTATGTTCTGTGAGAAGTGAATGGAGAATGCGAGAGAAAAAAAAAGAAAAGTAGAATAGTGAGAGGAAATTAAGAGGAAAGAGAGAGAGAGAGAGAGAGAGAGAGAAAGAGAGAGAGAGAGAGAGAGAGAGAGAAAGAGAGTGGGAGAGAGAGGCAGAGAGACAGAAATGAGAAAGTCGGAAAAATTATTCGGTCATTCGTTTGCTTACAAGTGTTCAAAATTTAAAAAAGTGAAGGAGAGTTGAGAAGAAAGAGAGAGAGGAGAGAGAGAGAGAGAAGAAGAATTGATAGAATGATTGGACAAAGAAAATATTTGACACTCGAAAACGAGCGGTTCTTCAAAAAAGGACGTAGTACAACAAATGGAAGCAAAATGTGTTATCTATCGCATGTATTGATATTATCTCAGCAGCAGAACCGCTGTTTAAAAACAGATTTTTTATCATCAGTGAACAGTGTCTTCTTTCAGGAAACGTATCAATCCACATATATCGGTGTATATCACGTGGGCTCTCTGTCTTCTGTTTGCGTCTCTCATTTCATTTTCGAGATAAGAAGGTAAGAAAGACAGTGAGAGAGAGAGAGAGAGAAAGAAAGAAAAAAGAAAGAAAGAAAGAAAAAAAAAGAAAGAAAGAAAGAAATAAAGAAAGAAAGAGAGAGAGAGAGAGAAAAAGATTGAATGATTGGGTAAAAAAATTCATAATTATTATTATTATTACTATGTAACTACATTAATATTATTACATTGAATAAGCGATAAATTTTTGTTGAAGTCGGCGAGTCCAATCAATCTCTCATAGGCCTGCTAAACAACACACAATGCTGATGTGAAAAATTCGTAAAATACAAAAATTTCTTCTAATAAAAATTTTTTAAGACTACTTTAATAAAAATATTCTGTATTTTAACACTTTTGGACGCGTGTAGGCGCATAAACTGGCAATGAAAAACATTAATGATAGGTTTGAAAATGCTGATAAATACGTTCATTTAACACGTTCAAATGGAAAATTTGTTTAATTAATGAATTAAATTATTTAATTAACTTATTAAATAAATTAACTTACTAGTTTATTCATTTAATCATATTGTTGATAATATTTTGATAAGTTTGCAAAAAATGAAGTCGATAAGTTAACGTTGTATCAACTTCCAGATTATCTAATCATGATATCAACTTATCAATCTATAAATAAATAAGGTAATTTATAAATAAATAAATCAATTAATTGATTTAATTGAGTAAGTATTATTAAGTAAAAGTTTAAATTAAATAAATTTATTTGATTAGATACATTCGACAAAATATTCATATAAATTTATTTCTAGTGGCTAAAATTGAAAAAAAATCATTTTAATATTCATTTCAACAGAAAAGTAGGACTAGAATAGCAGATGATAATAATTAAACTGATAAAGGAATAATTGAAATAAATAAAAATAATAGTTATTACACTACTGCTACTGACGCTACTACTACCACTACTACTACTACTACTACTACTACTACTACTACTACTACTACTACTACTACTACTACTACTACTACTACTACTACTATGATGCTGATTATGCATAATCGTCGTTATATCAAGTTCCTTGAATAATTTAATTGAAGTTTTATACAAATTGAAAAATGACAAATTAACTATTAAAAAGATATAAATATATATTTATCATTATATATATATATATAATTATAAATAATTGTTATTACAATTATTAAATATATATATAATTATAAATAATTGTTATTACAATTATCAACATCACCCACATCAGATTGAATGGATAATGTTGAGTATGAATCAACATCATAGTTCATGAATACAATAAGTCTCTCATCGCAAAACAGCATAGTGTTTGCTATCATTTGTGCAATCATTATTGCTATCATCAATCATTATCCTCATTTTCATCATTATGAGATAACATTAAATTTGTCATAAGCGCGCACACACTCACAAACACACACACACTCACATATTTTTATAATGTATACACATACATAGTACATACATATGTATGTTACTTTTTAAATATATACTTAAGTGTATATATATATATATATATATATAATTTGAATTTATGTATAAATACCCTAATGTTCGCATGCATTTTGTGTTTTGTTGTATTGTACGGGGTTAGTTTGCCCATTTTGATAGATTTGTGGATGAATTTTCACAGTTTCTGTTGTTATTTATTTGATTGTGTGAACAGTTTTTCATGTACTTGTAGTGCAATCTGCTAGGCTTACGACGCCATTAACGACAGGAAGAACATCAGCCGACATCTGACGTCATCAAGAAAACTTGATAACAATCTGAAGAATTAACCAAGAACAACAACAATCATGACAACGAAATCAGCAGAAGAAGCAGCAGAAGCAGCAGCAGCAGCTTCCGATTTCACACTGTTTTCATTCCAACCATCTCCACCACTGACGCCCACCGTAACGATATTAACAACACCGACGACGCTACTCCCCAAGCCACCATCATCATCGTCAGCATCACCATCATCACTATCTCCACCACAAGAAGTAGCCACAACGTCTTCACCATCAGAGGCATCACTACTACCACCATCATTAGAAACAACACCATCACCAGAGACTGCGCCTGTCACAAATAAACCCGGCAAAAAACTCAAACGCACGGTAGGGTTGAGCCACGGCATTGCGGTCATAATCGGGCTGGTTGTCGGCGGGGGAATCTTCATAACCCCTAAAAAAGTTTTAGGAAATTGCAATTCGGTGGGCCTTGCAATTTTTATGTGGGCTATGGCTGGTGTTCTTTGTATGATAGGAGCCCTGGCGTTCGCCGAAATTGGGGTAAGGTACCCCGTAACTGGCGAGAAGTATGCCTATCTGAATATTCTCTGCGGACCTTACTATGCATTCGCTTTCATGTGGCAGTACGTTTTTTTGATGAGGCCTGGAGGCAATGCCATCAAGGCGCTGATGTGTGCAGAGTTGGTTGTTTTTTTTATTATTATTATTTGCTTGATTTGTTTGTTTTTCATGCTGTTTTAAGAGTTACCACCGTTTCTATTGGCTTCGTTTACTACTCAACTCATAAGAATATAATATTGATAATAAATATTAATGCGAATATTCCTACTGCTACTACTACTATTACTACTACTACTACTACAACTACTACTACTACATACTACTACATACTACATACTACTACTACTACTACTATACTACTAGTACTACTACTACTGCTACTACTACTACTACAACTACTAATTTACTACTGCTACATACTACTACTACTACTTACTACTACTAGCAGTGGAGTTACTGCTACCACTACTACTTTTATTTAACTCAAAAATGGATTTATGACACCGCGAAATAGATACATCGTGAAGCCATTCTACAGCCAGAGCAAAATACCAAATTTCGTTATTCAGCTTGTGGCCACTCTTTTCACAGGTTTTTTTTTTTAATATAAAAGTTTATATAAAATATTTAATAGTTTCCTCATTATCGTTATTTAATATTAATTAATTAAATAATTAATTAGTTATTACTATTAATTAACTAATTAAAATAAAATCATTTTAGATATTTACTAGTTGGTAACAAAGTTTTTCGCTTGAATAACGTGTTTCACGATGTTTATTACGTTATTTTATTAAGTTTTAATGTCATTTCTTTTATGAATTTTCATCTGATTTAACATTTAAAACGTATAAATAACAGTAATATATATTCGGTAGTTATCTTTAAAATGACTCTAATTTGTTAAACTTTAATAAAATCTTCAATTTAAAAAAATGTAAAAGTCTTAAAATTAAACCTTCAAGACGTTTAACTAAATGAAAAAATCTAAAAATTAAACCTTCAAGACGTTTAGCTAAATAGAAAAACCTAAAAATTAAACCCCCGAGACGTTTAACCGTTGGAAAAATCTTAAAATTAAACCTTCTAAACGTTTAACTCAAACTTTTTCCACAGTAATCGTGACGGCGATGAACTGTTTCAGCATCAAAGGAACTCTCAGGTCTCAGAATGCCATGATTTGTATAACACTGCTGTCTCTTGTGATTTTGAGTGTAATAGGGGTCGTCGAGCTTATTAGAAGTATGTTTGTTGGCTGGTGTCGATGGATTTTTTTAAATTTTTAAAATTTATTTTTATACTTGTCATCCGTCGTCATCATCGTCGTCATTATCAGTATTATCATTTATTGCAACCATCTTTATAGTCGTTGTTATCTTACTAAATGATTATTACCCATAACTACAGCCTTTTTATATATCATCATTTCATCATTAAATGTTAACGCTGTGATAACTTTGTCATAATTAATTTAACAAGCATCAAACATTACCATCGTTCCGACTTTTATTTATAATAATAATTACAAATAACATCATCATCATCACTGTTATCATCACTATCATCATCAACATCATCACTATCATCATCATCATCATCAACATCATCATCATCACAGGTAACGGCGAAAGCTTAGTCAATCCTTTCCAAGATTCCGAAAGCGATCCAAACAAATTGGTTGAAGCGTTCACTTCAACTATCTTCTCGTACTATGGATGGTTAGTTTTCAAGATTTTTTTTTGCCACATTTTGTTGCTGGTTTTAATGGCCTTGTATAGTTTCCTAGAGGTTTATATGTTGAGAGGATCATTTATTTTGGTTGCTAATTACGTTGTATTCATTTTTAAAAATATATATGCCATGTGTTGAAACGCGCAAATGAAAATTTTTTAAAGGTCTGCCTTGAACTTCTTGATGGAGGAACTTAAGAAACCAAAGAGGTCGGAGCTATATTTCAATTTCTGATTTGTACATAATAATTTTGATGAGCATAATCACAATAATTTATTTTAGCAACTAACTTTTAATAATTAAAACTAATTAACTATTAATTATTAAGATTAATTAATTATTAATAATTAAAACTAATCAATTATTAATAATTAAAACTAATTAATTATTAATAATTAAAACTAATTAATTATTGATAACTGGGAAATGCAGAAACCTCCCGTTGGCAATCATCATTAGCCTGCTTATGACGACGACGTTATACGTTTTAGTGAATATTTCCTACATCGGTGTCCTTGGCAAAGATGACGTAATTAATTCAGAAGCCGTTGCTATGGTATGTGTGTGTGTATGTGTGTGAGTGTGTGAATGTGTGTGTGTGTGAGTGTGATTAGTTGCAATTTTTGTAATTATGTAATCGTTGTGTCAATTAGAGTAAGAGTTTCTGATATATGTGTTGTCTTACTCAGTACTCCGTTGCGTTTGTGGTTTAATTGTTCAAGTTTATGTTTTTAATTTTAATTAATTTTAATTATAAATTTATTAATTTAACTAGCAGTTTCTAATTCTGTAAATTGATAACAAATTTTTAGATCGAAATTTCAATTTTTCCAGAGTGTAGCGACGAAAGTTTTTGGATCGTTCGGCTTTTTGATGTCCGGAATGATTGCCGTCACTGCCTGCTCCAGTTTCAACTCGGGACTTCTGGTTGGCTCCAGGTAGGAAAATTAAAAAAAAAAATTAAACAAAATCTTAAATTAAAATAAAAAATATTTGTCCATCTGCGTATGATGTAGATGGCAAAACGCACTAACATCATGTTGAGAGGTCCTTACTTGTTCTATACAAGTAAGATAATAATAATAATAAGAAGAATAATAATAGTTTGAAATCAACCAAGAATGAATAATTTTTGGGAAAAATTTTTTTCGACTTGATTTTAATAGAGCGTTTGTCTGTTTACCTGATTTAAGTTGGGACGAAATTTTTGTTGAATGCTGAGTAAGTAGAATTAAAAATGTTCATAAAATAGTTATTGTTCAAAATCATTTATAACACTTTGCTATACTTGAAGTTAAGGAGTTTGTGTACGTAGTTAATTGTGAATTTTCATCATAACGTTGTTTCTCTAGTTTAACTTGTACGGATTATAAAAAAGGCAGATATAATTTGTGTATAAAATAATGAATTAATTTGAAAAAATGATCTAATTCTCCAAAAAAATGCAACATTCCGACAGGTTGGGGCTGTCAGGTGCAAGAGAAGGACATCTGCCGAAACTTTTTGCCCTCATAAGCATCAAATATGAAACTCCCATCACCTCCATACTCTTGCAGGTTTTAGTATGATGATGGTGATGATGACGACGATGATGATGATGGTGGTGATCATAATAATAATGGCGTGATGGTTAAACTGATTGCTATGATGGAACTTTTAATTATCGTGTAACATTTTCAATTATCGTAATGCTTGAGAAGGATTTATATCGAGGACTCTTTAGATCAGATTTTAAACTTGCGATGAAATGTTTAGATTAAAGTTTGAAAACTGCTCAATAATTTGCATTAAAAGAATCGGTTGGGCTGTTTCCATTAAACATTTTTACTATAATTATTTTTTATAATTATTAATAATCTTATTTTTAATCTCCATATAATCTTATTTTAATTTTATTTTAATTCGCATTTTCATCAAAATTTTTAGAGTTTCTGTGCCCTTGTCTACATCTGGCTGGTGAATGTGTACGGCATTATTAGTAACCTCGTCTTTTGCAGCGTCCTTTCTGACTTTGTGGTGGAAACCGCCTACATTTGGTTGAGAATTAAAGAAGATTATTTTCCAAAACGAAAGACTGAAACTCTCCAATCTAAAAAATATTTTGCCAAAAAGCTGAGCTGTATGGATGTTATAAAGAAACGTCTGAACCTGCCTGTAAATGAAACTGATAGGACAGAGGCATGTTTCAGTAAGATGAGTGAGAGAAGAGATCAAGGTCAGGTTCAGTTGGAAGCCATGGATGAAACGGAAGTGTGCGAGTTGAATCAGCGGAGCATTGTAAATGCAAATGATGGGGATGTTGTTAGTGAGAACCATCAGGAGATTGTTGAAAGTGTGGAAGAGAAGCGTTCTTTAAAAGTATGTCTGTTGCGTGCATTCTTATATCTATATTACGACTGCGGTTTTAATTTTATTACATCTGATCCTTAATTTATTTTCAAGTTTTTTAACTTTTCAACATGATTTAAAAAATGCCGTTGACGTCATTTTAAAATTGCGTCAATCAAGTTTCCACTGCTCATTCACCTGTCTTATGGCGTCTTATTGATGGGGCTGATCACTTGCACTCTCATCACCAACGCTCGCAACAGTGCCATTGGCTTCGGATCCATCATTCTCATTTCCTCCATCTACTATGTCGTCGTCTTTGTCGTCAAACCCAAGTGGGAGTGCTTCGATAGAAAATCACGTAAGGATAAATTACATCTCAACTTAATTTACAATTACAATTGATTTTTTTAAATATCTTTCAAAATTTGATTTCAATTAGTTCGATGAAATTGTATTTTATATACTATTTTGCGTAATTTAAGAATATTTATGTTATAATTTGTTTTACCGTTTTTTTTAGAAGCTCTGACGACTTTTATTCAGAAACTGTTCGCATGTGAAATGTGATGTTTGGAACTATGGATGTCAACATTCTAACCCACAACTCTTTAATTTATGGCGTTATGAATTTTTTAAATTAATAAATTTTATAAAATTCGCAGCATAAACTAATTTATTTAATCAATTTTATACATAATGCAATTATGTTAAATATCATCTGTCAAATATTAATGAACTTATTGAATGAATATTGATCCTTCATGCATTTACATCAAAAATCATGTAAAAATATTACAAATATATAATTAGATTATATATTATATTGTAATGTATTATTGCAAATTAATTTGTTAATTTTATCAATATTTAATTTTGTGTAATTGTTGAACGATAAAGCTTAAATGTAAAATATTAGTTAAAGCATAACATGTTTTTACCAGTTCGGCTCTAGCTTGTTTTCTATATTTTTTGTACCATGCATCTATAACATCTATTAGTTTATTATACTTAGTGGCTTTAAATAAAATGACACATCTATGGATAAATATTTGTGTGTTTCATGTTTGTGAACAGTTTTGAAATAAGCCCACGAACCCTAACATTCAAACAAAAACAACTTAACTCTAATTTAACCTGGTCATAATTGGTTGTAGTGGTGAGAGTAATTCATTACAATGTAAAATACATATTAATTCATCTCCAATCGACAGTGCATTTTTCAGAAACTTAAATATGTACAAATGTTAAAGTTATTTTAATAAACATAAATTGAACATAAAATTTAATTTCACTACAGTTGCAAGGTGTTTTTAGCAGCACCAGATAGATCGTTTTGTTTTCTATTCGATTCGTATGTTGTATATAACAACTAACGTAAAAAAATGTACTTGGGAGATTAAACATTTTTGCCGCCTGGTGCACAATAAAACAACTTCTGGATAAAATGATTCAAGTTTTCTGCAGAGAGTGATGAACATTATTATACCATTTAATTATTATTTAATACGATATCATTATTATAATTATCATTGTAATTATTACATAAAAACACACACCTATAACTACTCTTAAATTTCAGCAGATGTTAAACAAACTCAATCTATATTTCAATGACACGTTGAATAAAACATCGAAAACCTAAAAAATCGAAATAAACTACCTATTCTTTTATTTCTTTGAATAAATGCAGGACGCCAAATAAGAACGATCAAGTAATAAACGGAACAGGAAGAAACGACAGTAATGTAAAATAGAGCGGACGACACGAAATTTGTTACCAGTGGCACGAACGAGATGACAACCAACGAAGTGGCATATGTCATGTGGAGAGCTAGAGGTAGCTGAATAATCAGAAAAAAATTTGATAAGAATTTGATAATTTGCCAACTTGGACTATAATAGCCTACACCGATATATATATATATATGTTGGTAATAAATATATATATATATATATATATATATATATATATTAACCAAAACTTGGGTTATAATACACCAATATATATTTTAATACAATTTATAACAAAATTTCAGTGTGGGTTTGCGCCTATCCTAACTTATCGAAATCGATTGAGTTGTAGATAAAGATATTATAGTTTACAGGCGTCTTATCAATCATAGAATACAAATTATAACGTAAAGTGGTATCGCTAGTATTTTGTGCATTGTATGTATTGCAAGTGTTTAACTTATAAGTAACAAATGAATATTCCATCAATTCATCACTCCCCAAACAACCTTCAGAGTGTTATCGTCCGTGTTATTCTTGCTATTTCTGTACCGGATTCTGATGTATCCCGCGACGACGAACAGGTCGAAGATGACCGCGCAGAAAGTCACGTTGTATATTATGAAATCAACATTCATGAACCACACAAAGCTCCAAATCAATATTGCCTATTTTGGAAAATTATGTAATTAATATGGCAGAAAATTAATAAAAATGTAAAATATCGGTATCGGTGATTTATATAGCGCCCCTCTTTGTTAAAGATACAGGCGCGATTTACAAGATATAAAGATATGCCAGAAATAATAGGCCACCGGCAGATCAAGAAATCAAAAGTTTTCAAAAGATATCTCTCTCCCACCTGCAAAGCAAGTGATATAATTGGCGTCACTTGAGATATGCTAACGTAAGATATCATCTGTGGTAGGTGACCATTCCGTGCCCCAACAAACGCTAATCTGGTAAAAAATTTATTTGTGGTTTGGTGATTTAGCTTAACTTATTAAGTAATAACGAAGTTATTTTTTGGTCAAAACAATTTTTTAGAGTATTAGATGAAAATGAAATGCTCACCAACCAACCAACCAGCCAGCCAGCCAGCCAGCCAACCAGTCAGCCAGCCAGACAGCCAGCCAGTCAGTCAGCCAGCAAGCCAGCCAGCCAGCCAACCAACAAACCAACCTCGATCCACACATTATACCAGAGTTAAAACTGGATGTTGTGGAAATCGCGATGCATATCGACATGAAAAAGGCCAGTGGTTTCCAGATTCTCAATGCCAGACTCTTAAAATTTATGTAATTTTTTGCGGTTTGTTTTAAAATTAATTTAAATATTTTGAAAAAAAAGTTAAGTATAAAACTAAGCTGCTTATAAAAAAGTTAAAAAGTAATATACGTATACATTTTAGCAAATTTTCTTATTTTCACCGCACATAAACATCTTTTAACTATTTTTAACACTATTCTTATAAAATTTAAGGTTGTAACCTTTTAAAAAACTTCAGCAAAAGTTACAAAAATGACAGAAATTGAAATGACATACGATGGCGACGGCATCCGAGGCGAGGACACCCTCCCTTCCAAGAACCGCCATGTAAGAGTAGTTGACCAGGGTGTAGAGCACGGTCAGTAACAGACAACTTATCACTATTGCTTTTGGAAGAGTTCTTTTTTTTACAAATATATAAAAATTGAAAAAATTTGAATGTTTTGGGGAGTAATTTTAAACTTCTTTAGAATACTTTTTTGGATCTTTAATTTCTTCCACGAGGAAATTCAATGCTGCCCAGCCACCGTACGCGAATACAGTGGAGTAGTACGCCATTACTAAATTCCCAATGTTAAAAGTCGAGTTCTGAAATGGCTCTTTGAAGTGATCACCCCCATCTGAATCGTTATGAAAATATAAAATTTTCTGAAAATTTATGAAAATTATTTTGTCATAAAAAAACATCTACCTGTGATATTAACGTGAATGCCAAGAGCCACTATTAAAAGGAGTGTGAGAATTGTTAAAAAGGTCATGACACTTTGACCTCTGGCTGCGAACTTCACACTTATGCAGTTGAAAACGCAAATCAGAACTGATGAAAAGGGTTTCAATGTTTTATCCAAAATTTTTAAAGAAAATTAAATTTCAAACATGGCTGTAAAAAGTTGAGATTATTAAAACTAACTAGATATGAATGTAGCCAGGAGTTTGATGACAATTTCCGGGATTTCGCAATCAGGGTACAAGGGTTTCAAAAGATACCTACCAAGAATCAAAACCTTCAAAGAATTGCTTCCAGGCCTCAAGAGCAGCATGTACATCGCCAAGTACAAGAATCCCAAGTAAGGACCGTACATTTCCGTAAGGTAGATATATTTCTCACCGGAAACTGGAAATTTTATCCCAATTTCGGCGTAAACCAGGGCTCCAATCAATGAGAAAATTCCTCCAACAACCCAAATAATTAACGACAGTCCCGGTGATCCAGCTTGCTTTAAAACTCCCTGTGGTGTTATGTAGACGCCGCTGCCAACAACCAATCCAACTAGGATGGCCACAGCATAGGCAGTTCCCAGCTGGCGTTTCAATTTTATTTTGCCATCGTCCAGTGAAACGGTTTCAACGACGGATTTTAATGTGTCGTTTGAATGCTTTCGACCTTCTTGATTTTCTGCATATTCAGTTATTTGTTTGTTACTGATCGGATGGAAGTTAATATCTCGTTTCATGTTATGCTGTTGTTTACTTGTGCACTCCTATCGCAAGATTCACAAATTTCTATAATATTTAATCACCAATTAATACCTACATGGTAACCATCATTATTTTGAAAAATTGGGATCAAAGTGTGATTTATATTCAGCTCTATAAACGCACCACAAAAACACGCACGCACGAATTCAGAGGTTCAAAGTCTACAAATCAAAGAGAAATTAACAGGCAAACTTTAGTAATTCAGTCGGTAGAAATGAAACAAAATCAAACACATGCAACGTGAACCTTGCATGGGTGATGACAACCGTAATTAATATCGCAAATAAATATATCACCGCCATCAATTTACCAAAGATCAGTTAGTTTATTATTTACTCAGAGCATACACGCACGCACGCACACGCACACTCACGCACACAAACAGACAGCTGAATATTTTAAATGTTTGTTGCCACAAAGCTGCAGTACAAAGTTGCCTCGTGTTCAGAATGAATATTATATAATATATATATACATATATATGTATGGCGAAATTACGACGTGTATCTGATAAATGTTTGTAAACAAATTTACAATTTTACAGTAAACAAACTAAGAGATGTCTCTTATATCAAATGAACGACCTACATGTTTTCTAATTTCTGCCATCATCATTCAACAAGTTGTCATTAACTCACAGAAAATGGAAATATGATGAGAAACATGACACACAGACATGAAGTGATTCATATTGCAAGATACTCAACCCAGCAATGCTAATAATTAAATTATGAAAATTAAATATTGTTATGAATTTTATAACTTAAAATTATGAATTAAATAACTTTCTACCATTGATAAAAAGTTGTTACAATTAATTTAATGAAAGAATAACAAGTGAACGTAGCATGGAAAGTTTTAGAGTAGCCATCAATCTTCCAAAATATTAGTTGTTTAATTCGTTCTTGTTGTTTAAAGGGCAGAAAAATAATTTCTGGACGAAGTTGTTCACATTGTCGCACATACCTATTGTTAAGTTTTATGTTTTATATTAAAACATTATGATTTATAGTATACATTTATTTTCTTTGGACCAAATGTTTTTTGCTTTGTATGTAACTTCACTTTTCCTTTTCTGTTGATCCGGTTGATAATAAACAAGTCGAGAACGTTGCAAAGTTTATTTCTTGTCTATTAATGTCTTTCAATATTGTATCAATTAATTAAGCGATCTACGTAATAAGAAATTTAACAGGTTATGGGACCCAGATAACGTTTTTCTTAATTAATTGATTTGACGAAGAAAATTTAGAATAAAGAAATATCGGAAGATTCCTTTGTGAAGACTGAAGTGAAGAGAAAGCACGTGCTTCTTCATTCCCTGAAAATCGATATTTTGCTTCTAATTAAAAGGTCAAATTGAAAAGACAAGGAAGAAATGGATTCAAAGCTTCAAATAAAGCAGTTAAGTTGCGCAGCCGATTGGCCCATTGGAAACGTCGTTTCGAGATTTCATGGACTACCGG